GTTTCGCGATTTTCGACTCGACGGAACCTTGTGTGCAGGCAAAAGGAAACTGCGAACTCTGCACCGGAGCGTTTGTTCTGTTAGAAACGATCCGGTTCTTCGGCGTCGGACGATCGACTGCGGTTCGATCGTCGTTCTTAGCTTGTTTACGTATAAATTACGTATAAAAGCTCTTTCGAAACGAGATTTATGCAACGATTTTACGAACAGATCTTCTGTAAAGATCGCATGTCAAGATTTTATGTAAATGCTGGATGCTGCGTCCGTCGTCCACAATCTTCGTTCGCGAGATTATCATCCGCATCCTCGAATTTCCCGCAACATTGACAGATGTTACGTTCTTTTAGCGTATTTCGCCCGAACGCAATTACGTCCAGCTATTTAATTCCTATCTAAAATTAGATATCTAATTAAGAAAGCGCAGATTGGATCTGAAAGATCAGATTCCGAGCTTTAGAATGGTATGTGATAAACCTGCAGAGATAATTGTATTCCGTAATCAAAACGTTTCACGATATTAGCAGTATAAATTATAATTTTAATAGCGTCGTACACAGATGCTAGTTATTATTATAGATATAGATTATTATAATTTTATATTATATTATATTATCTATAATATATTATTATGATCTGAGTATAGATTTAGTTACTATTATAAATATATTATTGTAAATAGTCTTGTTTTCCCGATCTTCAACCAGCTGGTCAGCATATATCTCGACGATTGAAACATATTTTTTCAGTATCATTCAGTATTAAACGTGCTAAAAGATTCATATTACTAGCATATTGCCAGCATAAAAATTTATATTACTATTAACCCCTTGACATACCATTTTCTTCGCAGTTACTGCGATTAGAAATTTTTCGATTGCAATAATTTCTTAGAAGCGAAAGAAAATTGCTGCTTATCGTATGCCTAAATTCACTTGAATGCTTAAACATTGATGACGAGAGATTAAAAATTTATTGCAATTTTAATGGACAGAATAACAGCTATACTCGATAAATTATTACTAGAAATTTTCATGACGAATCGGACTCGTCAAAGTACAGCAAGGGGATAATATAATAAAACTGAATATTTTACGTTGAAAGTTACCGTCGACGATATTACATATTTTAAATGATGTTACAAATTGCAACGTAATTTTTTCGTTATTCGTACATTACATTGTACCGTTGCACGTCTATCATAATAAATTCCGATACGCGTATCGAAACATGCAGCTATCGTTTTGCGCATCAGACCTGCCCTTTTCATTTTCGATCGCAGTTTAAAGTCGCATCAAATCCGCTCTTTTGTTTTTACGTATCCTCGGAGTCACGTGTCACAGAGGCTATCCGTTTACCAATAAAACGATACAAGTGACAGAGCGTTCGACGTTTTGGCGGATTTCTTGTTCGATAACTTCTTCTGCGAAGAGGAAAATAGACAGTAATGACGTCGGACAACGGATCAGGCACGGATGATCGAATGTCTGCGCAACGAGAGAGTTCTGCAGTTTTTGCTAACGACGGACGTGGCCATTTTTATTTCGAAGCAAATCACGAATGCTCGTCGGATTCCTTTTCCGCTTAGTTCGCGATTATGCTATCATAAACGAGGCATAGCAGTAGACACCCAAAGCATTATTTTGCCACCCAAAATTAGGGCTTCGGAAGTCTCGTTACCATTTTCGTGTCGCACATATCGCTAACGATATTTTTTATAATCGTCGACAATCGGCGACTAGAAAAATGAGTCGCGAGGCTCGACCAATCGCATCTCCCAAAAATTTAATATCCGTAAAAATCGTATCTCCCAAATTGTCCATTTTCGTTCACAAGCTGAAGGAAAAATTGGGGAGAATTCGCTATGTTTTGCAAGTTGGAAGTAATAAGCATAAAAAGAAGATCTCGGTCGTAACGTTAAATAAATACATAAAAATCGCGTCGATTGTAAAGCGTGATACCGTTTTGTCCCGGAACGAATCAGAAATGATCGTCGCGACATAAATTCGTTTGTAAATCGTTTTTTTCCTCGGCGCGCTATCGGATCGCCGTCGAACCGTTTGTTAAATCCGATCGCGAAATGATTTCGTAAGTTTCGTTTTGCCCGACGCGCTCCGTCGCGATTGCTTTTCGGGCTTCAATAATTTTCCCGCAATCTATTTTTTGTCATCGCCCGGGGCCCGCGAAAACAAAGCAATTTTGGCGGATCGCCGCCGCTACACGAGCGATTCTTTTATAACGCAGAAATCGACAATCGGACTACTCGACGCGAGTTCGCGCGATCGCACAGCCTTCCGGCGGCCATTTTATTTTTCGGCCGATTGTTTTGCAACCTGATAATGGATTTCACTTGACGGCGAGCTGTGCATGTAAACGTACACGCATATATATCAATATCCGTGAAACGATGATCACTTCCCGCGCGCGTATTCTCTTTGCTTTCGCTGAAAATGCAAAAGCTGACGGTAGTCAACGGAAAATCGCTTTCGTTCGTCCGAATGAATAGATCGATATTTTTGAAGCGAACGCTCCCACACGATATTTCACTCTGTCGTTTCGAGCCATTTAGCTGTATGACGTAATTTTTCACATAGATAAGTACGGGATGGCTGAACAAAACGCATAAACTTGTTTGCACGCGTGATTGCAATCTGCTATAAAAAAGCATAGCAAAGTCTTTCTCTTCGTGCAGTGATTAATGAATACAGTAATGTCTCCCTAATTGACGCTCAGATTGACCACGAAATTGGACAATTTGGGAAGAGGAGATTCGATTATTCGAGCCTTGCAGCTCGTTTTTATAACTGTTGAAAATCGGTAACTATAAAAACAAGTCGCGAGGCTCGAATTCGCAAGGCTCCTCTTCCAAAATTGCCCATTTTTGTGGACAATTTGAGCGTCAATTAGAGACATTACTGTAGATATATAGTTATAAAGCGTCGGTTATATATAGTTATATATAGTTATAAAGTGGTCCACAAAAGTGTTCGTACACCATCTAAAATGTAATAACTTTTTTCAGATAAGGGACTAGTCTACTTGACAATGACTGAAATGCTTTTTTTTTAAATTTTGTTATTACTTGGAATGACAAAAGAATAAAAGGCTCTCGTTTTTTAACTTTTTTATCCGAGCCTATAACAAAAATTTAAGACATGCCTTTCGTGAAAATTTGGCTCAGATAAAAAAACTAAAAAATGGAAGATTTTTCTTTTTTTCTTTTTTGTCATTCCAAGAAGTAGCAAAATTTTAAGAAAGCACTTCGGTGATCGTCTAGTAGGCTAGAACCCGCTATCATCTAAAAAAAAAGTTTAAGTCACTTAGTCCACTGTAATTAAATGTAACTTAATCCTTATATCACAACGCTCGAAATACGTAGTCATCGGACTTGCGCTATTTCTGCGCCAATTTTCGTGTCCTCGTCACAGATCAACCGATAACTATCGAAATGAAGTTGCCTGTAACAAGTTCGCTGTTCGCCAACGCGGAATTTTACAGAGACGAATCGAAAACAGGTACTCGGATTTCTACACAAGGGTTAAAAAGTACGTAGCCAGAAACAGGTCGAAGTCGGCAGAAAAATTAGATCGACGTCACGACCGGCGAACGCCTCATCGATTGCTAAAGTTTGCTCTGCAAATTGCGTCTCGAGCGGAAGGACAGTCGGTGGTAGAAACTTCGATGTTCGTTCGTTCGAATGCAGAGTACACGAGCTCAAGAACTAACACAATATATACATATATTAAGGTCGATACGGTCCGCGTCGTAACAGAAGCGGTTTGCGTCTGATCCGATCGAAATTCGTGCGCAGAAAGATATGGAATCTTTCGAAACGTGAATTTGTGCCTTATTGAAAGTAAAAGAAACGTTGTTCCTTCGACGGCCGGGAAAAATCGGACTTGCCGGTTGCCGTGGACGCTTCGCGAATGTCGTCGTAGATTTGATAAAAATAGCGGCAATTTTGCGGTGCGTTTGAAATAAAAAAATATTTTTCATACGCGTTTCGCCTAGGTGACTGAAACTGAGACGACTTTAATTATCAAATTGTTATGAATCGACTGCAGATCTTTGTGCAAAATAATACGAACTGTCCAAGTTAATTTTGAGAAACATAAGTTAAACGTCTTTCCTCTTTCAATAATCGTATCAAGCTGAAATTAACGTAACAGTATCCTTAAATTCTTGTAATTCCTTCGACGATTTGTATGCAAGCTATTTATTTTTGTCATAAATGTATAAAATCTGCATACGATACAATATTTGATGACGCGTGGGATTACATGTCATTATATGTCAAAAATCAATTACGTTATTATTTCTTTCAAGTCGGCAAACAATCCGAATACACATATCCAATTTTTAAAAAGCGGATAGAATTCGTGAGAAATCGTCGTATCAATTTTTAATTATAGAAAAATTTCAATGTAAAAGATATTACAGTCAAAGAAGAGTTAAAAGTACGTCAGCCAAGAATCAAAAGATTCGAGTTAAAAAGGACAGCCAAGATTTAATCCGCAACGTAGAATTCGCGTTATAAATATTTGATAAAAACCAGAAAAAGATAAACTAGATTTTAAAAAATAAAAACTCTTCAAATCTCTTTCTTGTTTCTCTTTTTATATCTCTTTTTATATTCAGGCCGCGCCTGCATAACGAATGAAGCCGGCCCGCACTTCCAAATCAAAAAATGAAAAACTCGCTCGCGGTTAGACAGTTAAGGAGAAGATACAATAAATATAATAATAATAATAATAATAATAATAATAATAATAATAATAATAACCAAAGGAGCAGAATCGACAGACGCGAAACGCGAACGGCGAGCGGCGTCGTTCCTCGGCCGCGGGGAATCCATAATCCAGACCGTAGTCCCGTGTGTAAAAAGCGTGTGTGTACATGTGTAAGTCACATTTTACACGGCAGAGAACCGGCGCCGTTGTCGGCAGGCTCGGCCTCGTTGGTGGAGAAACTCTTAATTCTCTAAGGTATCAGTATTGTGTCACCTGTGATGGCGATCTTGCAGGACCACTTGCTGGTACCCTCAAGGACGATCTGTTCGGCCTGCTCGAGGCTGTCTATGTGCGTGTCCGGGTCGACTGAAAACGTCGTGCTGAAAAGAAGACAATGTCCTTGTCATCGGAACGTCCTTCGACAACCTCTCGTACCGAGCACTCGACGGCAAAAGTGATTCGAGTACGAATCTCAGCATCTCCCAGCGTCGATGAGCGGCGTCGTCGCCGCGTTGGCCGGGAACGCGCGGGGTACCTTTTGCAGAGGCCACCGAAGAACGTGTGGTAGGACAGTCTCAAAGCGCAGGGGGGGAGATGGGGATCGTCGGGAGTACACATTCAACGCGGCAGAGCAGTGGGCGACGAGTCAGGCCAGACTAGCGAGAAATGACGATGACGGCGGCGAACGGAGTGTCCCCTAAGACCCGGCAAAATGACGCGCGGCAATCGTGAAAGCAAAGCATGTACCCCCCGCACAATCCCGATCCGTGGAGGTGTCGTACGCTGGAGGCAGTCGCTCTTTCACTCTGGCTAACGACCGCGCGTGGGCGCGTGGTCCTCGCGCTGACGGCGGCGGGCGCAAGCGGGGACGAGTCTCAAGTTTGGTGAACGGATGCGCGGAAATCGTTCCGGGCAGAAGCTTCGGATGCCTCGGAATGGCAGGAGAGGAATGAAAGCGACAGAGAGAGAGAGAGAGAAAGAGAGAGAGAGAGAGAGAGAGAGAGAGAGAAGAGAGAGGACGGGGAATAATAACAGCTCGCGCGGCTCTGGAGCGAGGATTGCGACAGACAGACAAATGCAGGACGATGAATGAAAGGCCCCCAAGGTTCCCGCGGGGAGGAACCCGCGCCGCGCCCGTTCGGGATGAGTTCTCGGAGAGCGGAAAACGTGTGCGCGGCGGTAAATAACAATAACAGCGGGCCCGGGGTGTATCGGGCTGTCTTGCGAAGCCTCTGGATAGCGGCGAGGATTTCTCGGTCGTTCAAACATTTCCGGGACACGGGTTTCCGATAGACACGGCGGGCTCGCCGTGTCGCAGCGGGAACACGTTCCGGCACGTCAAGGCGAATGAAAGCACCCGCGATAAATATTTGAAACGAAATCGCTCGGATCCTCGTCACGGCTTCGTTGCGAGCTCTGTCGGGCGCAAACCCGGCTGGACGGACAGGGCGAGGCGTGGGCGCGGGCGCGGGCGCGATCCGTGTGCACTGTCGCGACACGAATTCCCTTTGAATAGGACGCTACGCCCACGGAGTTCGTTCGACAGGGTTAATCCGCGCGTTCCGCCGCTTTGCATATTCCGCGGGGGCCCTAGAAACCGCTTCGGCTCGAGGCCCGATCGATCGCGACGCAGCGGACAACGGCTGCGTAAATCCTCGCGCCACCTGTTAATCCACGAGACGATAGAATTAGCGCCGCTTTGTTCGGACCTGCCTCGGCCCCGGCCGCGACAGCTCGGGGCAGCTCGTTATCCCGAAATAAGAAAACTTGTTGCGTCCGACCGACGTGGCTGATCGCCAACTTATAGAGCCGTTTCCCGTCTTCGGGAAACTTCGCGGTAACTAGAGTTTTTCGGAGGATTTGCGGATCGACGTCGGCAGACCCGACCGACGTCGCTCGATCGATCGGACGACGGCCGAAACGGACGGAAGACGTCCGTTTTACCGGGTGCCTTGGCTTCCTGTTGCGCGACTCGGAATTGTGGACACGGGTCGAGTTACTTCGTTGTTAACCACGGTAAATTCTTCCTAATTGGGCCGCGGTGTTTCCGATGAGAGAATGAAAAACACGGGGTAAGGAGAGCGACTTTCAGCGCGAGCTTACCAGAAGCGAACAAAACCTTTTGAATAGCAACGTTGATGTTCTACGACGGCACAGTGTCTAGATGGTACAGTAAATTCTCCATAATTGACGCTCGGATTGTGCACAAAACTGGACAATTTGGGAAGAGGAGCTGCGATTATTCGAGCCTCGTTTTTATAGTCCGGGCTCGTTTTTATAACTGTCGATAACCGTTAGCTATAAAAAATGAACCGCGAAGTTCGAATAATCGTATCTCCTCTTCCCAAATTGTCAATTTTAGGGAGAATATATATCAATTAAGGGAACAAATTGGGAGAACAATTAGGGAGAATTTACCGTATGCTAAGCGACGCCATTTTGAATCCTTGGAAAGTAATCGAAGAAAATGTTGGCGTCACTTTGTTCGAAGCACAAGCGAAACCGACGGAGCCGAACGTTTTGCGTTACAAATAAAGCAACCGATAACTGCGCCAGCTCGAGCACCGCCATTTTGTTTCCCTGACGTCTAACGAGGCCTAAGGATCTAAGGGAGATAACGAGACCTTATATTATAGCAAGCGAAACGGGCGAAGAAGTCCGTTCTCTCGCGAGCTCGCTTTTCCATCATCTACTTCGAAATTGTGGATTAAAATGAACCTTGCGACGAACTATGCTCGGACCAAGCGCCATTTCGATTCCTCGGAGTGCATTGGGCCGACAAGAAAGCGTGGGCCCGAGCTGCAACTCAGGGGCGAAACATAACATGAACTAACGTAATTCGTTTCTTGCGTTACTCGTTCTTGCCGGCGGACAATTTAATGAGTCGGAAGAAAGGCGCAGTGCAAGGAGCATCGGTTAATTCGGGCTCGCGTGGTCCGCACCGAGAACTACAATTTCCAGCTTGCCCCGCAGACAGCTTTAGCTGCTGAAAAGTTCGGAAGAAGAGCTGTGTCGCTGCAACCACGAGATCCTGCGGTGAAAAAAGCTTCGCGCACGGTATCTCGCTGCAGCGAGCAGCTTCGAACTAACCGAAGGAATGCATGCGTTGCGCTGGAGAAAATTGAAGTGTTTCTACTTTGGTACGTAATTACGTACATCTCTTTTTTACTTTTGGAGATGAAGGGGTACAGACATTGCTGTAGACAGTTGAGGGCTCATTCGAAAGGTCCTTCAGTTTGGAAATGCGTTCGAAGATTTTACGAAAGCGAACGCGTATTGTTGAAGCTTTCGCATCGCGAAGCTGTGACTGTCTAAAAGGATGCGTCGTCGAAGGCAGTCCTTTCTGAGAAGATCATCGTTTGATCTGAAATTGTTAGACCTATTCGAGTTACACCCTAATTAGAGCTAAAATGCGTCCTGTTATGAGTTAACCCTTTGCACTCGAAGCTGCTTTAACTGTGAATCTGAAATCATTTTTTTGGCTTATAACATTTCCTTTTTGTACGTCGAAGTGCATTTTCTGCATACGAAATTGAGTTTTGTGACTCGTATAACAATTACAATTTTACTTTAGATTTCTTAAATCTAAACTTTGATAATATAAAAATGATCTGAGAACGCGACATAATAATTTCGCCTCGGAGTCGTCGCTCCAGTGCAAAAGGGTTAAAACCTAATTCGAGTTAAAGTGCGTCCTATTACGAGTTAACCCTTTGCACTCGAAGTCGCTTTAACTGTGAATTTAAAATAATTTTTCTGGCTTATAACATTTCCTTTTTGTACGTCGAAGTGCATTTTCTGCATACGAAATTGAGTTTTGTGACTCGTATAACAGTTACAATTTTACTTTAGATTTTTTAAATCTAAACTTTGATAATATATAAAATTATCTGGGAACGCGACATAACAATTTCGCCTCGAAGACGTTGCTCGAGTGCAAAAGGGTTAAAACCTAATTCGAGCCAAAATGCGTCCAAAGGAGATCATTTTCCAATCCTCGAAACTCAAGAACCTGGAAAAAACGTGGAAGATTCGAACCAGATACGACTTCAAATTGAATAGCATAATCGACAAAACAATATAACCTGAGAGACGCTTTTAAATTTTGCTCACTCGCGCGTTCCGTCATTAATCGCATGTAATTATCGGCACGCGTGATTTTGGAACGACCGAAGGAATCGACGGGGCAACGATATCAGAGTTTCGACAACCTTTCAGCTAACTCGGCTCGTATATTTGATTAGCCGCTGGGTCGGTTTCGATAAACGGCGACCCGATATCGCGTTAACTTACGAAGCAGGACCGGCGAGGGCGGGTTAACTTTGACAATAGCACCTCTATGTGCCAGAGGAGCTACAACAAGTTGCCACGCGATCTTAACGAACTTTCGATTAAATTCCTCCGGAATGGAGGAAGACGGCTCTCACGTGACGGGCAACCGCGTGACGCACGATACACGTACAAATACGAGAGCACGGGCATGGAAACACGCGAATCCCACTATCGACACGTGTACGGTTTCCTATCCAACGATTGGTTTTATTCGATTTCAATCCTTTGCGCTCGCACACACGACCGCAGAAGCACTCGCAATTAAAAGATACGCTGATTAAAGAATATCTCAGAATTGTATTTTGTAGTCCAACGTATTTAGAACAACGCGGAATTGTAAACCTCTTTGACTGGAATTCAGGTTTGGTGAAATTCAAGCTCCAAATATTGTAAAATTTAATCTTCGTTTATTTTTTGACGCGATAAAAGACTGCAGATTTCGCGCACTTGTAACAGAAATGAGTAAATCGAGCACGAAAGGACGAGAACGTTTAAAGAATTTTCAAACGCTATTACATCTTGTTCCACTGAAATTAAGACGAATACAAACAATTGATTTAACCCTTTGTGGACGAATCCGCTCGATCGGCGAGCGTCGCTGTGAACGACAAGTACTGGATATAAAATAAAAATGTTAAATTACAATATCATATAAAATATGTGGAAAACTTTGCTGGTTTCTCTGGTAGTGACACTGATAGACTGACTCGAGAAACTGAAATTCATTCTGAACCTGCGGTTAAATTAATAAATTTATATTAATAATTAATAAATTAATAAAAAAACGGTAAAAAGACTTGGGCGGCTATTTTCCGACACTCGTCCGCAAAGGGTTAATATATTTATATATTACAATTAAAATTATGTATTAAATATTATCTATTTAATTATAATATATAATATATATTATAATTAATATATAATAATATAAATAAAATAAAAATAATATAATATTATATAATATAATATAATATAAAATAATGTATAATAATAATTATATATTAAATACTATATATTTAATATATTTAAATAACCGTGTCAACGTTTC